TAAGCACAGAAATATGACTGCTTTGAATTCATTGCAAGTTTACTATGAAATAAACCATTAGTAAACAATTAGTTAATGCTTCAGGAACAGTTTTTTGCCCAGTACAACAAAGTTTTAATGAATATTCACTTATTTCAATTAGCTAATTTAAATTAATCTAAAATAAGGTTTATTTTTTAACTTCACTTGTCCTAGATTATAGACAGTAAATGACATTAATTAAATTTTTCCTATTAGTCTTTGAGTAAGTTTATATTAGCTGTGTTTAGGGAGGCAAAAATACAAATAACTTACTTTAGCTTATGAGGCCCAATATACTGGCTTTTAATTAGTTTCCATGTATTTGAAGGAAACCTCATTTTATTTTCTTCCAGAGCAATTATTAGGACATATTTAGAGAGTTTCTTTTCTTTAAAAGAAAATTTTCTTTCTTGTTCTTTTTTTTTTTTTAACACCAAGCAATTTACAGGGCTACTGCTTGAAGATGGGCCATGCAGCCAAATAGCTATATTTTAATGACTCTCATTACATTATGTTGACTACATGTAAGGATAAGATTTATTATTTTAACAATAATCTTTAGTCTACCCTGTAAATATTATAGGAAGAGATTTCAAAATTTTTAAATTTCTCCTTTTTATTAAACTTAGAATTATATTTTGAAAGAGTATCCCCTTAGGCTTATTTGTATACTAGAGGCCCAGTGCACAAAAATTTGTGCGCTCAGTGGGGGAGGGGGTGTCCCTCAGCCCACCTGTGCCCTCTCGCAGTCTGGGACCCCTCGGGAGATAAAGACCTGCTGGCTTAGGCCTGCTACTGGGTGGCAGAAGGCAGGCCCAATCCCTAGGTGCAGCCCCTGGTCGGGCTCAGAGCAGGGCTGATTGGGGAGTTGGGGCACAGCCCCCTGTCATGCACAGAGCAGGGCAGATTGGGAGATTGTGATGCCACCCTCAGTCACGCTCAGGGTAGGGCCCATTGGGGGGTTGGGGCACCACCCCCTGTCACACTCAAGGCAGGGTCCATGGGGAGGTTTCTCCTTTTAGTGTACATACAGGACGATGCCCCAGCTAACTGAGCCACACCTGCCAGAGCCAAAATAAATTGTTACTGTTTTTTTAAACTAAAAACTTGGTTCTCTTCTTTCTCATTCTCTCAAGGTTATGCTTGGTAACTATAGATCCTGGGGAAAGGGGTAGGAGGAAGAGTGTGCAAAAACAAAGAGAGACCAACCCAACATGACTGAGCTGATTTCTCATTGGTTTACCAATTGGTAAATAGTTTGAAACACTGTCTCTACTTGCAACAGTTTGTTATCCTCAGCACTGGCTGGCATGCACAACAGCACGAGGACAATCAAGGCTTTAAGGAGGAAGCCTTCAGAACTACTGGTCAAAAGCAGGGAGCTGCCAAATGCCAGGGGCTGTTTGAGGATCATCAGCCGGGGAGCTTTGGAAAAATACAAATCACTGAGATG